ATTATATTACTGGCATGGCCATTTGCTGCAATTTCAACAGCATGCTGTCCTGAAAAGCTGACCCATCCAATAACTGGTTGGAGGAGGTAAGAAATAATAATGTCTAAATGTTAGCTAAATCAAGATTAAAGAAGCAATTACTGTGGTTTAGTCATCAATCAGTAGTTTTATCTAATGTTGCCTACTCACTATTAACCATTTATTTTCTTTTTCTCAGACGAAACGGTTCTTAAATTCATCACATATAGAAACTTTTGCCCAAGCGCCTTATGATAATTTTCTGTTGAAGTTGTAATTTCCCAATATTAAAATATTGTTTTCTGAGTCATTGCCAAAAAGTGAGAGGTCCCTGATTCTGGGAAACCCAACTAGTATACTTGAAACCTTTACAGCTGAAAACTATGGGTCTTTCCTCTGCTGTCCCTCAGTCATGACATTTACTTTTGTCCCTCTGTAGTAAGTACATACTTTCTGCCGTGGTGCAAGTAAGTGGGTCAGTAATAGTGTATTTTTGAATATTTATCTAATCAGCAGGGCAGTTGAGAATAAACTCATCACCAATTAATAGTTACTGGTAAAAGTTCATTCCCATTGGACAGAGCCAACTTGTTGCCGTAAGTATGTCCTGAGAGTGAAGGCTTGTAAGGTGGGCTCCTTGGAAGAGAAAGCCGTAGGTGAGGGGCAGGGCACCATTGAACTCTCTAAAATTGTCCACTTCGTTTAAAATTTGTATGCTACATAGGGTCTATTCCTTTCTTCCAAATCTCCAATGAGAATGTCCTCCAAAAATTTGGAAAATCACTGTTCTAGAAACTTTTAAAGAAATATGCAATTTACTCTTCAGTTCATGTTCTAGTGAATAATGTCAACATTCAGCACAAGACTGGTTTCCAGTGGACGTGAATACAAGGCTGGCAGTGTCCCCAGAGAATAATACCACCTTAATCCTTGCAAATCATAATCCTTTGCTTTATGATTCAAGGCCGTGTGTCCCTAAAAAATACTTTAAGAGAGATTTTTTTCCATGACTGGCCAATTCCTTTCAATTATCTCTTTGGTTTCTGTTGTTAACAGCTTATGAAGCCCTATCATGATGGAAGGAGTAATCTAAGAATCCAGAAAACAGATTAAATAAGTGTTAGAAAAGAACGTTCTGGGGGCCTGGGTGGCTCGGTCTGTTGAGCACCGACTTCGATTCAGTTATGGTCTCGGTTTGTGAGTTCAAGCCCTATGTCGGGCTCTGTGCTGACAGCTCAGCCTGGAGCCTGCTTCAAATCCTCTCTCTCTCTCTCTCTGTCCCTCCCCCGCTCATGCTGTCTCTCTGTCTCTCTCTCTCTCAAAAATAAAATAAATATTAAAAAAAATAAAGTTCCATTTTTTCCAATTAAGCAAGTATTTCTACTTCCTCTCAAACAGGTAACATTGAAATTAATTATGTAGCCCCAAACTTTTAGCCCTTTTAAAATCCTTTAAAAAAGTGTTTAACAGCTCTGAATATGGGATAGTTTAGAATGCGGTTGTCAAAATCTACACCACTTTAAATCAAAAATAAGGGTGGAAATCGGTAAAGGGGTGAGCTTTTTATCCTTATGTAAAATAGACTCTGAACTCTAAACAGCAAGAAGGAGAGAGACGGTCATTTCCCTGTGCCCTCTGGAAAAGTACATTGGCTTTCTGTGTCTCACTTCTCCTTACTGTGGAGTAAAAGTCAGAGAAACTTCCTCAGTGCCTAGTTGCTTAATAGCCCCTCGCTGTATTGCTACAAGACCACTGAGAGAATTAGACGGGAAGTCTGCTTTTTCAAGCTCTCATTGGATGTGTTACGGGAAAGACGCATGCTTTGTTTTTCATGAAAACTGCATGCCTCTTCACATACTCAGATATCCATCCTGTGTTTGCACTTCTAGGAATGTGTTTCTGTTTCCCAACTCAACTGAGCTTATCAAGGACAGGGACTGGATAGTCTTAGTCCTATGTGTCCAGCAGAGGTCCTGGCACAGTTTGATGAATTAATTAGTCTTTAATGGCATAAATTCTTTTAAATTTTTTTAAATGTTTGTTTATTTTTGAGAGAGACAGAGACAGAATGCGAGTGGGGGAGGGGCAGAGAGAGAGGGAGACACAGAAGCAGAAGCAGGCTCCAGGCTCTGAGCTCTCAGCACAGAGCCCGACACGGGGCTGGAACCCACGAACCGTGAGATCATGACCTGAGCCGAAGTCGGACGCTCATCCGACTGAGCCACCCAGGCGCCCCTGACATAAATTCTTTGTAAAAAAGTAAGCAGTTAGATTTCTGAAATTGTGTAAGTGCATCTACGTTCCAGGAAAGCGAGATGGTGACTTTAGCTTTTAAGATTTTTGATGATGTCTAAGAGCTATAATGACATAAGTAATAAGGCTTTAAAAAATTATTCCTAAAATAACAGGACTGATGCAGCATGAGAGTTCTAAAAGTGTCTGGGGAGATAGCATCATTGTTACACAAATGTACATTCCCAAGGTCACTCCTGTGAAGAACAATACTGATTTGGATTTCTCAGTGGGGGACGTGTGTTGAAGATTCATTTTTAGGGGCGCCTGGGTGGCGCAGTCGGTTAAGCGTC